GGCCCTGAATTGCAACAGTGTATTACAAACTGACAATTTCCACTGATTTATAAGTGTATATGTAAACAACACTTTAAAGCCTCAAGCCTCAGTAATCTTAGCGTCGGAGCACTATAAATGTTTACATGGGAAAAGACAAACACAAGAGACTTGTTCAGTCTCCACATAATCTCACCGACGGAAATCTCTCCTGAGTGACAAATCATCCAACAGATGCCTGGATCTGATTGTGGGAAATCTTTTTCTTATGCTCTATATCCTCCACCTGAACAGTCCAACAACAACAACAACAACAACAACAACCAAAAAAAAAAACAGAAAAAAGTGGAATGCATTACAGTGGATTATTCTGATTCCATTGAAGCTCGCAGTAATTGGGACCACTCGGAACAAAATGCAGGGATGGTCCCCAGAGGTAGGGGCTATTATGCCCATGTCTATGCCGCCCAGAAGTGGCTATAATCTTTTATCCCAAGCAGGAGCCATAAACGACAAATACAATCGGAGCTTCATGTCGGTTTGCCTCGTTTTTTACAACAGCGAAACCAAAAAAACTTCAGTTCAACTATCAGTAAATACTCTTGTTTAAATGGATGAATGTGCTTTTTTATGAAAGGCGTGAATTGTCATGTAAATATTTTGTGCATATTTATTTCTTTCCATGAGCGGTGCAGGAATGCCACCGGAGTTGGTGATCCGTTGAAACTTCCCATGTTTAGCAAATGCACCGGGGGTTTTGAATGTCAGGGCTAGCTCTGTAGGTGTGTGGCGCTATACGCCGCCCCGACATGAGCCCCCCGCCCCCCGCGCCCCTCGAAGCTATAGCTTTATCCCGCCGCTCAGCGCCGGTATCAACAGTCTCCTGTAGCTCTGGGACAGGCTCATCCACATGCTCAGGAAGTGATGCGCGTGTGTGTGTGTGTGTGTGTGTGTGTGTATGTGCCCCGCAGGCTTTCCAGCGACGGCATATGGACCGGTGGCGGCGGCGGCGGTAGCGGCGGCGCGTGGCTCAGGTAGGGGGGCCCGTGGAAGAGGCGGCTACTTGGCGTACCCACAGAGCACAGGGCCAGGTAAACGCTCTGTCCATGTTCTGTGTGGCTGCTGCTCTCTTCGACTTCTGCTCTATGCTTCTCCCCATAGACGTAGTCCCCCCCCCCGCCCCCCCCCCCCCAAATACACGTGTCAGGATTTGTAGTTAAATATAGTTTTGACACGCGCTCGGCGCCGCAATCCCAATTTAATGGGGCCTCTGGGTCCATCAAACATCAGCCCCAACAGAGCCACTCATGGACCAAAACATCCCAAAAAATAGGACTCTAAGAATGATTGAACATCTTTTCCTCAAAGACAGTAACAGAATAAATCAATATGAAGCTTGTGAAAAAGGAACCTTGACAAAATAGACTGTTGCAATAATAATATCTGCACTTAAAGCTTTGGTTAGTTGAAATGATTGGGTTAAACAAATTATTGTTAATGATCATAATAGTGCTGCAGCCTCATCTTGACCAAATATCGTGATAACATAAATGAATGCTTCCCTTGCCAGTGTCTTAATTTAACTTATAATAGGAAAACACAATAGCACATACTGTAGTGAAGTAGAAATCTCAGAGACATTTCATGTCAATCTGGTTTCTCCCAAAAATATTTGTCCGATTACCCTGAACGCCACCCGGTCAGTTTCACCTCAAAAGCTCTAAAACGTTGGCTCAACCTATTGCTTTAGAAGCAAGTGCAGATGTTTAAAATAATGACCACGTTATAGTACAAGCGCCTCAATAAAACACGCTGACAGCATACATCTTGCTTCTGGCATACAGGCAAATGTAAGCCAGAAGATTTGTGCCGAAAACAGGATGTTGGTTTCTTTCTGTCTTAAACAGTATCGATCAACTTGTCAGCTTCATTTAGACATCCTGCTTTTTCCACCCCTTACAACTGTAGATCATTCAATAGCTGTCAATAAAGGCTTCCCCTGACTGAGCACTCAGCCTCTAAGCTTAAGGGAAGAGTGTCTTTCCTAACTAGGCATACCATTAGAAGCATGCTGGAGAAAATGCGTTTAATTGTTCCTCAGATCTTGTCTGTTTTTTGTGGTGGCTCACAGATAAAAAAAATTCAGCCGGCAACTGTTTAATGCCATTTGATGTGGTGTCAAATGCACTCACCGAGAGGAATGCTCAGACCACTACAGGAGTGTCTGAATACTACCAAGCATGTACACACGTGTGCAAATACACACTCGTGCCCTCTTTTGAACTTAATTGAAATCAGCAAAGGGAACACTGGAAGCCAATCAGATGTTCTTTTTTTTTACACACCACGCTGTTTCATTTAACATTTTCAAAACAAACAATTTGCCCAACAATCGCAAGGAACATTACCAAGAAGCAAGAATGTTGATTTGGGGTTAGCAGCAGCCAGGAACCAAGAGACGTGATGGCAGCCATTATGTACTGTTTAACTCTGACAGCTGCAAATGGAAGGAAGACAAGTAAATGATTATGAACAGGCGCCGAGGGGAGGTGGGAAACAGTGACATCATGGGCCCGTTTTAGTTCTTAAACGCTCATCAGGGACTTTAAAGAAAATATCTCGTTAAGAAATGCTCTGTCAAAATTTTGAGAGAACCCGCCTGAAAAGAGAAAAAAACATTTTTAATCGTTTGAAAAAATCAAGGATGTGAGTTGGATTTGAATGATTCGGGTTATTGGTTGCCTTTAATAGCTTTTTCTCCAGAAAATCTTAATCTTTGCAGCCTGTTGATGTGCAAAATGCAATCCAAGTTCTCCAGCTTTTTGACTTTTGATGAGTCACGAATGGTTTTTCTGATTGTTTATTGAGCATTCGAGTCGATCCTAATGATATTTATCACAGGTCCATGCAACGGGGGCTTTCTTCTCTACGCAGAGACAAACCAAACAGAGGACACAGATTGTTTAGGCTTGACCTTCCTCTGTGTGTATCGTCTGGGGATGTTGCTGCATCTCTGTCCCCTTTTATGGTTTCATTTGCAGCAGTCAGCCCAATGTCAGCTCAGGAATAGCAATTCCATTGGTTTTTGCTAAATTCTCTAATTTTAGTGCAGACAAGGGTTTTTATTCTTTAAAAAAAAAAGCCTTTTTGTGTGACGCAAGTGTGGATTCTTTGTGCTTTGACTCCACCTACAGTTTCCACAGAGCACCACACGTTGTATGTATCTGTCTACATTAACCCAGAACTAAAAGAAGTTCAGTGGAAGAAACCTTTGCTAACGAACACTACTACACACAGGCAAATATAATAAAAGGACTCTTTGCGCGAGGCTTTCTGTGTGGAGTGGGATTCCTCTGCAGATTGTCAGCGGTGTTCACAGAGATTGTCACGAGAACGTGGAAGACATCTTCCATCTCTGGCAGAGGGCACTTTCCCCGTACTCAGTAATCAACAGACAAAATGACAGCATGCTGACTTCCCCTTGTGTGACAGGCCGCCGCTGATCACAAGGTGGATTTTGGATGCCTTAAAATGCGTTTTACCTCTCACAGGCAATGTACCCCACACTGCTGTAAGGCAGGAGAAAGCAGGAACGCTCCAGAGATGCAGATTTAGCAGAATTTTATCTGAACTAAGAAGATAGTAAAGAAAGTGCTTTTCTTACTTCCAGTAGCATTTATATTTAAAGCACAACAGCTGTTTATACTTCAAGCTTGTGTTCAGGATGGGTCTCTTTTTTGTTTAATAGAAAATTGATCAAAGGTTGATCTCGGTATGTTGCCGGGCTCGTACTTCAGTTAGGGTTTAAAAAAGCATTCTGCCGCTGCGGTCTCCGCCAAATGTGATGTTGTACAACACGATGAGCCCTGATGCGCGCTTTTGGGGACATGCCCGACTGTAGCTGCAGGCCACAGGTAGATCAGAGGCGTGAGGCAACGGCACGGAGTTTACTACTGCCCGGAGGCAGAGCGGTACCAAACAGCGTTTGGCTTTTAAGCGGCTGTTTTTCCGTTTTTTGAACCTGCTCCGAGCAGAGAAGAGGGTCAGCTGAAGTCAGCGGTGAGGGCATGATTTCCGAATAGTTTGACAAGGAGAAAATAAAATCACTCATTTTTAGATGAATAATCCAAGCGGCAGAGCAGAGGCTGAATTTTAGAGGGGCTGCTGGACGTCTGCAGTTTAGGGATGATGCATCTAAAGAGCCTCTGTTGGACAGGTAAGTTATTCGGAAGCTGAGCTCTAGTTTTTTAGTTGGTACGTCAACAACTGTTTACTTATTGATGTGCGTGGTGCACGGGGAATGGAAGAGGCTGACAAGGTCACTCTTCACTGGAAAGACATGAAGTTATGGAGACTGGGGAAAAAACGTAAGTGATGGCTCTGCCAGTCCGGGGACTTGACGGCCTCTGTTTGCTGAGTGCTTTCCTCCGAGTTCCTCCGAGGTTTCCCAGAGGCTCAGATGTCGGCCTCAGATCTCGACTGTACCTGTAATGTCCACAAAGCACATTCGGCTGTGTTTACGGCTCTAATTTGCCGCGTGTGTCTTGACTCAGCTGGCCGCGGGCCATTAATTGGGCCGCGTGTTAATGGGACTCTGGGTGGTCTTCATATCACTGAAAGCCCAGTCCTCTCCTCCGATAGTTATTGCTCTCCTCTCTTTGCTCTTTTTTTTCTGACGCCTCTATTACTCATCTCTCCTTTTCTACCTTTTTTTTTTTTCCCCGACAATGACAAAAAAAAAGGAGTCTCACTCGACAGGCGCTCTCAAATTAAGATTCTCATTTGTTTCTTTCCGACGTGTTCTGTGATCTTGGGCTGAGCCCAAAGGGGGAGTAGGACTGGCTGTGTGCTCGGAACTTAATCAGTCTGCCTCTTTGTGAGCTCGGGTCCATTTGTCCTAGATGCTAATATTCGGAGCTCGGCTCTGAGGCCAGAAGAACACTTCACATGCAGTTTGCGGAAAATAACATGAGCGGGCATGCCAAGCCCGTCCTGCCCGCCTCGCTTTTCGTCTGAGGCTCATGGAAATATTTGACACATCGGGGAAAAGGCGAAGCGTCCCTCTGCACCTTCGCCAGAAAGCGGCGGCTCTCGTAGCGGTGGGGAGCAGATGCTCTGAGGTTACAGGCGCAGGCCTTCAGGGACATCACCGATCTGCTCTCCGGGGGCCTCATACATAACACACTCTCATATGGAAACTTAGGAGGGCTCTGTGAAAGCCAGTGTTTTGTCTTCAGTCCTAGATAATCCATGCATTAGATTCAGCACGTTGGATCCTTATGATGAAATGTAGCTTTTTTATAATTTTTTTATTTGCCATGTATAGTTATATTAAATTGATAATAGTAATATATACCTTAGCAACAGCTTTGATGATTTTCAGATCTGTCCAAAATAAAGAATGGCTCTATTCTGTTTTCTCCATCCTCATAACTTACAGAATTGGATGTATGGTTCCATGAATGTTTAATATCAGCGCAAAATATTCCACCCTCTGACATGAAAACGGCCATTAGATGTAGCCAGTATCACTCTCAGATTTCCCTGGTAGTGAGTCGTGGATTTCTGCAGACCACTTAGGCATGACCAGACCTGTTTAGAAAAAAAAAGTGCTCAGCCAAAAGGCCAGGGCTGTCAGCTCTGAGTCTGCTCACAATATGATAATCTGTGCAGACTGTCGATAACCGAGTGCCCTTTCTCAGTCCCAACCAGACCAGATCCCTCACAGGTTAAAATCTGCATTAAAATCATTTAGTGTTTTCTATTTTCGGGAATACATGGGAGCGGATTCACTGCTCTGTTTACCATCGAGCAGCCTTCACTGTAACTTTTCATAATCATCTCCCATTAACGGTTCAAGGTAAATATAAACCAGCAGCTCTGTTTAGTTTGTTCTCCACCAGAAAAAAAATGGCCTGAAAAGGGAAAAGCAGGCATAAAAATGAAAAGTAAAGAAAACAGAAGCTGGAGTACGGGTGAGTAAATGCAAGAAGAAATCATCTGTTAAAATTCATTAGCCAAGCCTCTCTGAACACAAAATGACAAGACATTAAATATGTATTATTTATGAAATGTCTTTGCGCTCTGAAAAGGGTGTCTAGTGCTGTTAATTACTCAGCCATTCATTCAGAAAAGATTATTTCAAATGGAAAGTGAAAGCAAGGCTAGACAGCAAAAGAGCTGTTAGTTTCTTTCACGCTATTTTTAAATGACATTGGTGAAAATGGAAAAGCTAATTACGGTAGTTCTAAAATTCAAAGCTAATTTGAGGAGCAGCATGTCAGGTTTATTGACATCTTCTGCAGAGTGATGTGGTTTGATGGCCACCGAGGAATCTGGCTGCTGCCGCCAGGGAGAGGGAGGAGTGACTGCATGAGCGATCCCTGTTTGCAGAAGTGAAAATAACTTCTGCTGATAGATTTTTATACTCCCCTGCTCCCCGTTTTTGTTGACTGTATAAATAACAGGTATGGTCATGTATATTCAAAGTGTCTTACAGAAGAGAAGTCAATACTTGGTCGATGATTAGAATTAAGCGACAAGGCCTGCTCTTAGACGGCTGAAACTTAGAGTAAAGTCGGAGTAAAAGAAAGTTCCAGAACAGTGTTTTCGACTTTCATGAAGGGAATTAAGCTCAGATTTAGATCAAATTCAAATGCTCATTTTACTTTGTTTGTCAAGCCTGTTATTAGATAAAAAAATATTTACAAATTGGTGGAAATATTCTTTGGGTGAATTGTGCGTGATGAGTTTTATTTCCCAAGTAGGGAAAACAAAAGAGAAGCATTACTTTCAAGGTTTGTGATTCCTCCTTAAAGGCAGTCACCTGGTAAAGTGGGAACGGGAACAGGGCATTTATCCACTTACAGAGAACCACCCCGATGATGTCAGTAACAGATGACTGCGAGTCACTCCCCTCTCCACCGCCTCACAGGCGGCTTTGGTCACCGAGGGCAGGAGGGAGAGAGGGTGGGGGCAGGGGAGATAATTATCAGTATAAATGAAGCCCTGCAAACGATTCGCACTGCTGGGTCCCCTGATCTAGTCTCCAAGGCAACCTCAACACGCTCATTTGTTTTGTAGATGAGTAATTACATCCAATTAGTGGCCGGTGGAAAAAAAAAAAAGAGTCCAAGAAAGGCCCATTGTTCCGGATAGATTGTGTGAATATTAATAGTGGGACGGTCTGAGGCACAGCGATATGATCAGTGATACTAATGCAGCTGTGGGCACACTCTGCCCAGCCTCATCCCGCATAACAGATCAGATAGCCACTGATGAAAATATATGGCTCTGAGAGTGTGTGTGTCTGCATGACTGTGTCTGAGTTGCACTCTTGTCCAGCTCTCAGTTTTTTTTGCAGCAAACAAAAGCCAGTTTTTACCTGAGCACTCCCACACAGACCATGTTAACAGCACGCGCGCTTGCCAGTTTCTCACATTTTATTATTGGATCCAGTGTCGTCGAGAATCAGAGGATCCTTCCCGGCATGTCATCTGCTAGAAAGATATTCTCACACGCCGTGTGTGCCGCACATGTCCTCGGGACACGTCGATGTTCAGCTACACCTATCCAGTGTGTGGCAGCGCTTAGATTTAAGCGATAAAACGCGTAAGCTCCATCTTCATTGTGTGCTTGTAACCGGGGATTTGCCTCCACATTCCAAAAAGACACCGAGTTCCTCTTGTCATATTTTTGTAGACGGATGCATGTTGAGGTTTTGGTTGTGGGGTCAAATTTCATTAGCGGCGCTCATCAGAAGTTCAGGCGGCTAAACAGCTCCACAGAGCACCTGCTTATATTGCCGCTGTCAAAAGATAACTTACAAACTGACTGGAGCTTCTTTTGTTATTGATGGCACTTTTTCTCAGGCTGTGGCTGTAAAGGTAGCTGAGCGATACGGTGTACTCAGTTATTGGTGCAGAGCGGGGAGAGAGTTGTGTCTACCTTCTGGCATTCTGCACTGCTTTTGTACTTTTTGTCCGTCCAGAGAATTGGACAGAGCTTGATAACTATCGCTGTGGACAGAGTTGTTCCTGTTTGAATCAACTTTTTGGGACTTTTTTAAAGTCGTTTGCATTCAGGTTGAGCTCTAAAAAGGCGTGGATCTGCACACTTACCATCAAAGTTTCCATTCCTGAGCAAATTAATTTAAAACAAAGAAGCAGGTCATAGTGGCTCAGGCTCTTATAATTACAGCGTTATATCCACTGAAAAGATCTCCCTTCTCATGTTTACTGCTAACTGTATTATTAATCTGGTAATAAAAGAAACGAATCCTGCAAATCAGACTCGTCTTCTCATGAATATTTATATCATCCTAACCCTGTTTAATGACTTTATCAAGATGATGTTGATAACGGCTTAGCTCATTTTCAGTTGCTTTTTATGTCAGTTTAGTAAGATATATAAGTGAAATTTAGCAAATGTGTTCAGTTGGACTACATTAAGAAGACTTCTACACTGCTCCAAAGTGATGATATATTTGAAAAGGCTTCCTTATGAATTACCGGCAACATGGTATGTGCGACTGTCAAATGTTTCTTCTCCATTATAATTATTCCATTGATCCAGTTTTCCTCATTAGCAGGGCCAATCAATTTTCAGTGACATTTGTCTAAGTGAAGTAAATGGAATGATTGCTTCTTGAGCTTTGTTCAATGTGTCAGGCATTATGTGACGTTCGTGGGAAGCCTGCCCTATTTGGAGCCTATAATTTGATGAGTGGGCAGACAGCCCACAAGTGGTGAGATCAGAGTGCTAAAAAGCATTGGCGGAGAGAAACATGGCTGGTGCTTACATTCCATTTGGCAGAAGTGGACTGTCTCACTCTGAATGGGTAGAGGTGAAGTGGTTTTGAATGGCTATTCGCTCCAGGACCCAAATTTTAAAAACACATACACACACAGGAAGGGGAGACCCAGCATGGAGAAGCCGGTGTCACTAGCCTCAGTCCCTCCTGAGTAGATTAACTCCGTTATCAAAGGGGTGTGGGAAGGAGCCGTTTCTTTTAATTGCACTCTTTATATGAGCAGCTTGTCTCAGATTAAGAGAGCAAGCAATAAATGTCAGAACGACTTATTGCTGAATGACATTTTCTAAACTGTTGATAATCCACCATCTGTGTCAAAGAAAAGATCATTCAAAGAAGCCCGTCTGCGAGTACGTCGAGCGCTTCGTAATGCTCTTCATCAATAAACACGACGGTATCATACTCATACAAAACCTTTTCATTTTCTGTTGGTCTGAATGCAGGACGCAGAGTGATCATTGATTAGTGTACTGTGTTTGCTTCCTTCAGGTTCACCAACCAAGATTTGTCGGCTTGAAATGAGGAATGTATTGACCTCTGTTTTTTTTTAATGATTCTCGAGTTTTATCTCACTCCCTCACCAATTGCCAGGGATAGGCAAAGAGTCTCCCACCTGTAGTCAAAGTATATAAGGAAGAAAACTTCCTGATGCCATTTTGTAGAGAAACATTTATATCAATTTTTTTCTTTGTGGAGCTTGCATACACAACAAAATATGGTAAATAAAGCAAAAGGGGGGGTGGCGGGTGGGTTCTGGCAGGAGCTGCTGGGGAGGGAGGGCAGGGAGGGCCAAATAACGCAGACTAAACACAAATGATGTTACCTAAATATGGTGTAACACCCCAGCAAGCTATGCTCAGCAATCTGGACACTGACTTTGACGATGAAAAAGTTGATTTCCACAATGATGGAGTCCCCTCCCCCTCCCCCTCCCCACCCTATACTGTATCTCCCAGGCCTCCCCGATTATGGGTTTTACTCTGCGCCCAGTGACCAGAGGGGGGGGGCCCTGCTCCTTTGCTGACTATGGCTCCCTGGGGCCCCAAGCGGCTCAGATGCTGCACAGTGAGCATGCCACCTCCGCCTGCAACTCCCCCCTACAGCACCTACACAGCCCGGATCAGTTTAAGAACCCAGGTTTGTATATGAGCATCTACCTCATCCACGTTTTGGACTTTTCAGTTTGATTCATTACATTATTCCATACAGATGATCAAATATTTTCTCTTTTTTTTTTTTTTCCCCAACACATTTCTCTTGCTTTTGTTAAGAAAAGACAAAAAAAAACTTTGAAAATAATTAATATGAAATGTCTTGATGACAAAATAGCATTGCATGTTCCTCCTCCTGTTTCAAGTTTATCGTAGCTTTTTTTTTTCTTTTCTATTTTTCTTTGTGAAGTTATTTTGCGGCCCCTGCTTGCACATAAGGGGCCTACACATAGAATGTATTCCTTCATTTGCATGCAAACAAAATAACTATTGATGATGTCGGAGAGTACGCTGGAAATGTTCCGTTATCAATTTCGAACAGCAATGGAAGAGAGTAAGTGTGGGTGTGAGTGTTAATTTTCAGTCAAGTGTTCCAAGTGTAATAAAGATTACCTTCATCGCTTTTGTGTCTAAAATGCCCAACATTTCAGCATATTACAGTCAAAACTGCTTAGCAGAAGCTTTTTTTTCCCTTTTCTATTGTATGTCTAGTTTTGAAAAGCGAAGAATAACATGATTCAGATGTGCCTAAAGTCTTTCTTTGAGATTAAGGTTTGTTGAGTTATTAGAAAAACACTAATGTCAATTATGAAAAATGTTTGTCGTGACGTGACATGATGCTCATTTCTTGTGAAGTGCAGAAAATCCACTCTGATGGATCAGGATGATATGACTTAATGTAAATGGCTGTCTGGAGAAAAACAACAACAATACACACCACTGCCTGCACTTCACCATAGCATTAGTTTTTGTTAAAGTAAGTGCATGAGCATGGGCCCAAAGGACAAAACGTTTCCCAGTTTACAGGTTTAAGCTCTGTAAAAAAAAGATGGCAACACACACATGTTAATTAAAGTAATTATACTTCAATACAAAAGAGACAACAACATTTCTTACCACAGTCTTTTCTTTGTTTAAATCTATTAAGTCACATTGTATTCAGTTAACATGTCTCATTACACCAACACAAACGCACAGTAATGGCATCGCCTCGGCTTTTTGGGCCTGGTTGTAACACCGCTGGTGCATTGTGGCTGCCGTTAGAGTAGAGAGGGTTCTGTGTCAAAGTGGTCTCAGTTACTGGAGTCACTATTGGACTCAGATGATGCATGTTTTTGCTCCTGAATGCTCATGGGGTGCTGCCTGGTAGAGAAAGCGCAGGATTGTCTCGCCTGAGAAGACACATTCAAATCCTGCGTGAGTCAACATAGCTTGATTGCGTTGTAAAATGATTTACGTGCGTGTTGTTTGTGCAATAGACTTTATTTTTTGCAGCCAACCTTGACTCTAATTATATCAAATTCAGAGACAATTATAATGTCTAGTACAATGTTTCAAGTAGATAAAGCAAATAGGAGTCATTTTCCAGAAACATAATTGATTATTGTGTTTTTTTTTCACCATTATAGGTCCAGTTTTCAGCTAAATAAATGATGCTGTACAGTTAGCTCATGGGAATAATAGTCTGCTCTTTGTTTGTACAGCTTTTACATGTGTACTTAAATAGTACATTTAATATTCCTTTGGAGCTGCTTGTAAACAACTCCTAGCCTCCGCATATGAATTTGGCTCAGACTGCAGTGCACTGTCAGCTTCTCATGTCTGAATCGTGTCGTCCCCTCAGCATCAACTTTACCTAATTCCCTAAAGTTCCCCAAGTATTTTTATCGGTCATGAAATAGTTATGCGCCCGTATTACTGCTTGAATCACTGACTGTTTTTAGATGTTTCCCAGGTTGTTCCAAAGGCTAAAAAAGACTACAAGGTGAATCTCATTCTTTGGCCATTAAATGCTGTATGCATAAAGGGACAACTCTTATGATTTAATTTAAGTGTTTGGGGAAAAGTGAGACATTTCTCAAACATAAGTCAGTTTTAGCATCGAATATGTTGTTGATTTTTCATCCAGATGTGTGTGTACCACAACAATATTAAATAAAAGCATAAGAAAGTCTTATAAAAAAAGTGCACCCGCATAAATCTTGAGAGGCAGCGGGCTGGAGTGGGAACTGCAGCGAGGCCCACACGGCTGCATTGTTGTGACTTTTCATCCGGAATGCATTAGTGCAGATCCTACTTTAAAACGACGAACGCAGTTTCACACGGCGGCGGCGGCGGTGAGGGGTCACACTCCAATAAAAGTCAGCGGCTGCACGAAAATTAAGACCGCCATTTCAAGTGAAAAATCCTTAATTATATAATAAGCCAGCTCACTTGGGGCTGCGCGGGCAAGATAAGAGCACTAGCTGCTTTGCTTTTTAAAGTCTGCAGTCAAACAGCAGTGTCAACTCCTCTGGATGTGTCTATAGTGAGACGCTGCCTTCGCCCAGAGTGCTCTAATGGATGTCAGAAGTAGGTTTGGAGGTGCGTTTAAACAGGGCTCACATGTCTAATAAGGCCGTGATAGATGAAGCAGTCAAAAACGCAGCCACAAAACTCTCGTTCACCGCGTTTGTCTACACGGATGCGCTGGATGCACTGCAATCTTACTACATGTTTTTTATGTCGTACAAAGACCTCCTCTGAGCCCATACACACACACGGAGCATTTCCTGGGAGTGGAGGGTATTTCTTTTTAATGCAGCCGTACAGCTTTCCCTTCCTTACACCGTGTGAATAAGGGTGAGACGGAGGGTTACATGAAGCTGACAGCAAAGGAGATTGCTGTGAAGAGATCTCAGTGTTTTTTTCTTTCTCCCCTTTCCTGTTTTTTCCCTGTACTGCCAGTGTTACTGGCCCTTTTTGTAGACAGAGGTTTTCAAAAGGCATTTTATTAGTCTGAGATGGTCTTACTCACAGGGCAAAGGTGGTAAGTCATGTACAGTATTTCTCTTTTATCTCCCACTGAATTTGGACCCGTGGACGAACTCGGGTCAAGCTTTTATATTTCCCCCTTATGCCTCCTTTTTCTTGCCTGACAACCTTTTTGCTTTCTTTTGGAAGTCACCCCAGCAGACCGACAGTACTCAGCACATGAAGACATAAAAGAAATAGCTCATAGTATTTGAAATATTTCAACACTAAATACCCAAGATAAATCAATGGTCATTTAAAAAAAAAAAAAAGCCTTCTTAGTCTACATCCAGTGCTGTTTTACAAGTACTCCCTCACATTATGCATGGCAAGTCTGCAACCTACTAGTTTACTGGCATGGTGGAAGTATATTTAGCAAGTGCCTGTTTTAATTTGTGCATGATTATACAAAGTGAATGTTATTCCTATGCATAAGACAAACAGCATGTAGATTCTGGTTTTGGAATATCATACTGGATTCACCCTTGAGCTTGAATTGCTTCAGGCCTAAATCTTGTGCCTTTTTTAGTCAGAGAACTTCTCGTTAAAGTGAATAAGCAGCATCTTTAACCAGCAACGACAGGTATAAACAAGCTCTTAAAGACAAATACATGAATCCAGGCATGTGTTCTTTTGAATTAAACATGTCCACTTGAGTCATAGCTAGTAAGGATGGTCCACATCACTGCTGGCTTTTGCTGAGATGTTCTGCTCCTTGTTGTGTTTGTATGCAGGCACCAACCCTTCAAGGCCCGGAGGTTTCCCTGGCGCTAACAGTCCAGGACCGGTGGCTGACCTGTATGGGCCTAGCAGCCAAGATTCAGCCGTGGGCAACTACATCAGCGCTGCTAGCCCTCAGCCCGGCTCTGGGTTCGGCCCCAGCATCACAGTGAGTACTTATTTTCAGACCTTCTGTCTCGTCTGATGGCCTGTGTCAGAAAGCACTAAAAAACAAATGTGGCACAAAGAAAGGGCAGCAGAAGAAGCGATGTGAGGGTTTTCTTAGTTCAGTCACCTGCGACAGGCACACTGTACAACCATGTTTCCAAAACTCTGGGCATCTTTGATAAATATAGAAAAATACCTATTATAAGAATATGTATATATAGCACAATGACTACATATTCTAAGATTTCACATATATGTGATCGACCGATATAACATTTTTTTATATGATCTGGAAATCATGGCTACTTTCTAAGCTAAAAAAATAGAGAGGAACCATCCAGTTTATCAGCACAAGAAGCAGAGCTTAGCATCCACGATGGTCTCTGTATCCGTGCACATGAAAACGTGTAACTTGCATATGAATGAAGGCACTATTAACGCAGAATGATATAGGTTTTGGAACAACATCTGCTGCCATCCAGACATCCTCTACAGGGAAGGCCTCGCTCATTTAAGCATTCAATCAAATGCTTAATGAGAATACACATTAAAAAAATGCTTTTTCAGCTTATTCTGTTTAAGTATAGGTCATTCATTATTTGCAGTCGATTACTAATTTTTATTTTATGCAGATAAAGTGTTCCAATATTTTTTGTAAACAGGGTTGTACATGTGAATAAATACCACATTAGCTTTGAGAGCTATCTGAGTTAAAGGTAGTTTTTATTACAGTTAGCTGCCCAAACGTTCTCCTCTCAAACTCTGCATCACCCCCACCTCCACCTCAAACTAATTTATTTTCGTTTAGAAGCCCATCTGTCCAAGAGCCTGAGTCAGCTGCTCCTCAGTCGGCTGTCTTTTCTTTTTTTCTTTTTTTTTGCTGGTCAGTTAGCTGCGGTTGCCATGTCAACTCTCAGGTGTACGACTATAACTGCAAAGAGAGATGACATCACAAAGAGCTCCTCAGTCAGACTGTGTCTTAAGGGTTCTGAGGATGGACTCAGATGTTCCTCTGGGACACATTAGGGGAAAGCTACTATTTATCCGGCCTTCCCTTCACTCCTGGCCTGGCTCACAGAAAATCTGAGTTGATTATAGATATTGTTCTGTTGAAGCAGCCCAGTATATCATTGTAAGCCTAGATATAGAAAATATCTCCTTAAAGCCAGTTTGGACATCTTAAATAGTAAGATTTGAACGTTAATAACCTGACTTAGATCTTTAGCAATGGAATGGATGACTCACATATTACTAAGTCCTATTGATGTACAGATGTATACTGGAAGATATAAATTACCATTAAGACTTAAGTTTTTTTCCCAGTCGGTCCTTGTTTTGTTTTTTCAAGGCAAATGCTGGACCTCATTGACCTGACTTACAGCAGCATGACTCTGCATGAAGTTCAGATCTGACAACATCTGACAACAGCAGACTGTTGAGAAACCGAATGGACACAGATTTCCCACAAAACAGACGAGGATTAGTGCCCCCAGTTCCCAAACAGATGAGAAATGTAATTAAAGGAGGGCTGATGTTACAGGATGGCAAACATGCCTCTATTGGAGACTCCATTCAGCGCGTTACTGGCGTCAGTGCTTTTGCTTTTTTTACTAAATGTTCTTCTAAATACAGTGAAGATCAACAAACACAGCTTCATTTCTAGCTGTGACCGTTCACAAACCCTTAGCCAGAGTTTCTCTGTATACTTAAAAGTCATCAAACATTGAGAAAAATGCCCATTTTCGTACAACCTCATTTAACTTGCTGCCCAGAGATTACATGTTTATGTTTCGGACCTTAGTCGCTAAGACTCAGCAAAATATAGGTCAGTCATTTGTGTGAGCGTTACCTGAAACCTCACAAACCAGTCAGTCAGATATTTAGTTATTTTTATCATGTTTGTGCCACTTTGTATGGCTGAACTGAACCGTATGACACAAACTCCACATCAGTAGATCCATTTTCTACCAGAGTAACCAGATGGTGTTTCACTCAAAAATTAGTAATGTTTTGAATTGTGGTCTCGTCTCGTCATGGCATTGAACGCCTTCTTTTGTCATTATTGTGATTTCTTTTATGTTCAGAATCACAAATTCTTTTCAGAAATAGTTTGATGTCACTAGGAGCAAGTGTATAAACGTCTCATGCGAGTTTTAAAACTGCAGCTTTTTCGGCTGTTTAATGGATTTATGACATCCTCCCAAAACCTGATGAAAAATGCATATTATTGTGTTTTTGTGCTCCCAAAGCAAAGCTTCTCTCATAAATTGTTTTTGGACCACTGGCTACATGCCATAATCTGTTGGTCTCAGTTTAGGAAGCAAAATATTTGTTATGAAAGACCAAGCTGGCTCCTTTTCAAGGCAGATTTACCCACAGATAGTTTACAGATGGAAATGAGGCCATTTGTAATATTTTCCATTTGTTTCAACAGTTTGTAACCATAGTTTATGGCTGAGTTAGGGAAGTGTAAAAAGGAAGCCTTGGAATGAATTTAATTTTGGGGCCTTTTTTATAATGCGATTTTTAAATAGTCAAATGTAGCTCATTGATGTAGCAGGTCCCTCAGAAGTATGTTGAATTAAGCCCATTTAGTTCAGGCCAAGGGTTGTGATTCCATTACAGAAAAGCAGTTTGTGTCGGTAATAATAGTACGTATTAAACCGGTGCTTCAAAATTACCCGGTTATTCAAAAAGGGAGCAGTAAAGCAGAGAGGTGAAGCAGCAGACCTATGACTTCCTGCTCTCAGCCAGATGATCTCTCTATTCAGAAAATTAAAATAGGAAATGATTCAGAGCTAAAAACGTGCTTTATAATTCATTTCTTTCCTGGGGATGCTGTTGAACTGAATGTGCATATAATCATCATATCTCACAACCTCATGGATGACTTCAGATCCACTGATTTGTCCCTCTGTCTCACGCTTCACTGATTTTATTAATCCCTTTAGCCAGTATGAAAACAGCCACTGTGAAGAGGCGGTAATGAACCTAACTGTTTTTGTCTTCTTCTTCTTTTTTTTTCTTCCCTGCAAGACAATGAGAGCGCAATTAGTTGAGTGAGGTGATAAAGGCAAATAGTCGAAGCCGAAAGTGCTTTTCTTTCCACTGTTGTGTTTGAATCCATGGGTTTCTACAGTCCTGTCAGCAGGGAAGCTCACAGAGTCCTGATAACCAAACAGCCTCCATGGCTCTAAAACACGCCGGTCTTCCAGAGGACTGTTACAGATGCCAGTCTCTGCATGCTCTCCGATTAAATCAGTCGTTTATGTTAGCATGAATGGGGATTGTGCTATTTGTTACTTTTCTGACATGTTTTTATTTCGATCATTTAATATCATTACAGAAAAAAAGGATTTGAGGTTAATGTTACCCACAGTCTGACTCGTGCTCTCCATAGTGCCTATCTAAATCTTTTTAACATGTTTTGCCTCCTTTGTAATTTCCTGTTTGTCCTTTATAAGAATGAGAAAAAACAGTTTGGGTATAGTCTCTTGCTCTTCTACTATACAATGAATCAAAACTGAATCAAAACGTTCACATTCATGCTAGCTGAAAAAAAAAGTTGATATGATACTCACTTTTCTCTCTTTGAATTGCATACTGACAAAAGCACTAACTGTACACTTTTAGGGCCCGTTGATTGCGACAGCTTTTACAAATGGATACCATTGAACAGGTGGCCGGTTGCCATCTCATCAGAGGTATTGCATTTTATTTACTGTGCATTTCTCTAAAGTCTATCTCTAATTTGTGTTCATCACATTCTCGTTGTTTATTCACCCCCTCTCGAAATGCCGGAGCTGGTAGTAGAGTTGTGTGCAACGGGAGGTTCCTCTTTTTCGGCCTCTGCTGGTGAGACGGTTTGCCTGAAAAAAAAAAGAGTCAAAAGCATAAAAAACGCCCCGCCTTTTGCTGCTAGAAATCCAGGTCAATTGTTGTGACTCGCTGAGGGGAAAAGTTTGCACTGAAGCAACACACACACATACTACCAGCTCTTTTTCTTCATTAACATTTGAAATGTCTCCATCCTCGAGTATCCTCATGATTTTTAGGGCAAATCAAACGTCTCTTTCTCGCCATCCATACTGTGTCATTCACCATTTACAGTGTTTCTCACCTTATGAGCTTCAGACGTCCACCGTGCGGAATTGGCATCGAGTTTTCTGTGACTAAAAATAAGTCTAAAAATCCCAAAGCTTTCTCTGAGACACGGCCTAACAAGAGCAGCTGAATATTTCAGTTTTTCTGTGCCTGCCTCACACCTGCACATTGCTAACAACGCCCCTCATGTGCACGACAGAATTGTTACTTATAGAAAAACCCAGACGAATCAAATCCGCGCTTTTTTTCAAACGATTTCAAACGAAGTGCCGATCTCCAGCTGAGCTCCGTGCCTACAGAACTGTAGGACGTATGAATGTCCAGGCTGGTCTCTGACATGTGGACTATTAAAAAACGTGGGAACATGCGCTCTGGATGACTCCCACTGTAATTACGTGCAGTTACATGCACCAGCAGCGAGTTTTAGACCTGAAGCCTTTTTTTCTGATTTCCCCCACCACATTTGTTTCACGTTTATTCCACCTCAGCAAACACTCACAGCGTCCGTCCCACATTTGTGTGTCAGTAGAAGTCTCAGCGCACGCTGCTCGTGCGCAGGACCCAGTGTATTGCGTGGCTCCTAACGCTGTTTTTTTTTTCTTGTTCCTTCTCTTCCCTTTATCACCCAGCAGAGTATATCTGGTGGCCCAGGACAGACAGGACGAAGTTTCTAATTGGCTTTGTGTGCAGGTGATGCTAACCCAACTTCGAGCACTACAGCGTCACCCCAGGCAAAAAACGAACGAAAGTCGGAACCATATGAAGAAGAAAAGAAAACGTTAAGTCATCTCAGAAAAATAACAACTGCTGTACTATAATCCAAACCTTCTATAACTTTACAACCTGGTTTGGTATGATGTTTGACGTCAAGTTCAGTCACCAGTTTCCTTCCTCTGTTAGCTCTTGTTTTGATTAGTTTTTAGAGTGTCATTTTAATTTAACCTTGATTTTGTCTCATTTGATTTGATCTTCTAGCTAGTTAGTGTTGTGTAAGTGGATTTTTTTGTTTGTTTTTGAAGTACCGGGGGTCACAGCCAAGAATATCTGCAAGTCATGTCATCACCTTCGTATGGGTTAGTGTAAAGGAGAAAAAAGGCTGGGAAGTTTCCATTTAGTCCTCCTGCAAAAAAGAAAAAAGAAGCTCAGTGTGGAAAGACTTGGAGGAAAAAAATTCAAAAGAAGGTATCTAAGTAATAAATTCTAGTAGCGGTTTTATTTCTAGTGATGTCTCATTGTAAACCATAATTACCTATTTTTGGGCAATACAAAGAGGACTTCAATATTTTTATGGTCCTTTTTTATAAGTGTTGTTTTTGTTGTTTAGAAATATATATATATGCTATAACAAATTTCATATAACTACATTGTGAATTCAAACTTGAGAAAAAGAAATGTAGCTGTACATATTATTCCAGTCACTGCATATAACCAACTCAGTGAGAGAATAGCATATTTTTGTGATGGTGTGTCAAAAGAACATGTTATAGCGTGTGAATAGAAGAAAAAGCTGTAAACAGTTATTATTCTACCTTTTTCTTTTTCTGCTGGAAGACGGTGTAACGACCCCACGGACAAAACAAAACACACTCGCTCTGTAAATACTGTAGCTGAATCATTTTACAAGTGTCGTACCAGCAAAATTTACAATCGGTGAGTTCAGTCGACACAGTTTTGAGAAACAACGATGATTAAAGAGAATAGCCTGATCGGTTTCTTTGGTCTAACTCGTTACGGTATCAGTATCATTTCAAAGAGGAAGAGGACAAAAAACAAAAAAGATGATTTAATCCAAAGCACACTGTATGTAGAGGTGAAGGTTAGAACTTGAACCAGGCATCCTGACACTTTTATACTCTTGAGAGGAACTTGTTAGCTGTGTGTTACTGTTCGTTTCATCCTGCTCGTTCCTGATTCTCTTCACGGAACGCGACTCTTGGGCTCTGTGCTAGAGCCTTTATATACTGCTTGTTCTCTGAATCGGTTGTTTTTGAATGAATTAGGAAAGTAAACGTTTTGATACCATACCTCAGCCTTCATGAGTTCTATTGTTGAATCATTGGCAGATCTAAGTTATTCTAGTGGCAAAATAAATGAAAACACTGAAAGGCAATTAAGCGAGTAATCATTGCACTGTGAGTTGTAAAGTACAGGCCACTCTCCTGTTTGCACATGTGTGTGTTGGCTTTTTTAAAATGGCCCTGTGCTTTGGGACAGCATGAAGGATTTCGGGGTTAATGTGTTCTCGACTAGACAAACGCTTCGATGTTTTGAGGTGAGTTAACAGCTTGGGAAATAGTAACCGATATGTTGCAGTGTACACTTGGATTTCTTTATATATTTGACCCGCGTCTCATCGGAGGATATTTATGCAGGGTCAAGAGATGACACTGAATTATTCACTCTCCCGGGCTGCGCCAGGTTTTACGCAGCGTGTGTGGTTAAGGATTTTACTCCGGGCGCTGATTTGATAACAATTATAGTGATACAAATGAAAAATAATGATATCCTCCAGAGTGCAGTCTGGGTTTTAAATTCGCTGAAGCCGTTGCAGATGTATTTGTTATTTTCATTTTACGCACTTGTTGTCTCGTTTCTTTTATTTCCAAACAACCAGGTAAAGAAATATGCTGGATTCTTCGAAAGTAAAACGATAACGGAGGTGTGACTGAGTTACAGTTTAAAGAAAAAAAAACCCTTGTAATGTTCAAATGTAAAAGAAAATAAGAAATACAAAACTATAAAAAAAAAGAAAGATGCTTCTTTGCTGATTTCAAGTTTAATCAGAGTTTTATTGATACTTTGTGGTTTATATATTAATAATTGTAATATACTATTAAAATGTACTGTGCATCCATTACGTTCTCTCTTTCCATCCCCCATCCTCAGAGATCCTGCTATCTTTTGTTGATCATCCATGTATTTCATTAGTGTGTAAAGAAATCACAGTTAACTTGTAAACAGAGTGCTGTCTTTGATACCAGTGTAGTGCTCTTTGTTGTTCTCCCTTGCTCTACCTCTCCTTTCTCTCATATTAATCCCTCTCCCTCTCGCGCTCTTTTTCTATCTCCTGTAATTACAAAGTAGATGTTATATAGGACTCATTAATATAATACTCGTAGTGAATAGTGGATTTAGGACCAGTCAAGATAGACCTTTCTCTCAATGATCATGTTGTTCTGATATTTGCAGACAATTATTTTTGTTTGAGGTTCATTGTAATTTATTCCCTGTATGTTTGACCTTTTTTTGTTTTTCTTTTTTTTTCTTCTTGGTTTGGTTTTGCCACTCTAACATGGTTTCAGCTAACCAAAGCTCTCATGGATGAACAATGGAGAAACAGTTGCTGTAAAAGATGAAATTGTACACAAGGCATTATTTGGATCCCCACCCTTGAATGTTTTTAAAGGGGTGTGCCATACTACCTTAAATGCTAACGCTAGATATGCAAAACTTTTGTCTGAGAGGGACACAAACGGAAATAATTACACAGATTTCACTGGGGGAAAAAGATCGTATTTTTTTTAACATGCCAGCGATTCCCGCGATAGTCATGAAATCTGTCACAGCTTTTATAGATTCTCTGCTATCTGTCAACATTTGTACACTTTGGGGGGGAGAAAAAAATACCCCGCTGCCTTTGGCGTGGTTGTTTTCAGATAGTACCTCTGATCTGTAGATGTGAAAAAACAAAATTGTAATTATCCTAGATTCTGTGCGACGTGTTTTGGTTTGATCTCTTATCAGAGTTGCTCACAGTTAGTACAGTCCACAGAACATTAGCAGGTGTTAAAGGCTGATTAATAGATGGTTAAGTTGATGTCCTCAGTCAGACCGCCACCTTGAAGTAGTAATTAATTCCTTGGCTTAAAGAGAGATATTAGAAACCTGAATTTCAATGCTTCCAAATAAGTTATCAGGCGCGCTCAGAGTTCAGCCGTTAAAATTTACACGAGCAGCAAAATGCAAACTAATTACAAAGCCTGTTCAGTTTCCCTGTTTCAATTCAGGTTAAATAGAATCCACATTTCATAGCGTTTATTCAGTTCATTTGGCCTCACTGTTTGGGAAAGAAAAGGCTGCTACATTACTGTTAATAAATGAACATTATGGCTGTCAGTCTGTCGTGTTACGCTCACAAAACAAAGCTTTCTCAGTTAAAGTAACATTATTCTCACACCAATCTGGAAAGTGTGCCGGACATTTTGTTATTTTATACGAAAACACACGTTAAAACCTGCACACGTTAAAGTCAGAGAATGACACCGGCTGGTTAAAAAAACCCACAATTTGCCCACATTTGTTGGGATAAAAACGGTGATGAAACTTGTATCTTCTCAGTTGTCCTCCAGTTAATTACCAGTGCCAGTGTGTCAAAATATCTCATTAGTAAAACATCAATAAATACGCCAAATATCCATCATCCAAGTGCATGTAGGCTGGTTTGCTGACAGGATTCTTTTTTTTCAAAATGTGTCCCCCATGTTTAATTTGCATCATTACATATTGAACTGGTTTATTTAATGAATAAGAAACTCTAACTCAAACATTATGAATTATCCTAAAAGCTCCTT